GTCGAGACCGTGTCCTGATCTGATCTGTACGGGCGAGTCACGTCGGCGTCAAAGGAGCGACGTGTGACCTGTCAGAGCTTGATCTCCGATCGCAGCTGCCTCTGCGCGTCCTGGGGAGGTACATTTGTTGCGCACCGGAGACGACTCGACGCCGCTGAGATCGGAGATCAAGCTCTGACAGGTCACACGTCGCTCCTTTGACGCCGACGTGACTCGCCCGTACAGATCACATCAGGACACGGTCTCGACGCGCTCGGTACGACGCCTGCGACCCGTCTCGGGTCAGGTGGCACGACGCTCATCGCGCCTGCCAGCGCTGCCGTACAGGTTGCCACGACGAGGTCGAGCACGCTTCTATACGCTCGCCCAGCCTTCCTTTCCATCCCATTAGGCAGCCTGGGAACGGTGATGGTCAGAGGCAAAGCCTACGAGGGGTGGTGGAACCACATGTCACGGCTACTGACGGCTCGACCCCACGATAGCCTCCGAAGGCTGACTTTGCGGCACCATCATCGGACGATGTCGACGAGTTGGGTCGCTCTCGCGGTAGCCAGATGACCTCCCATGCTAGTACCATCGGCTAGGGTCGCAGGAAGCGCGGGGGAGGGCGCTGGGAGCAACACGGAGCTCCGTTGGACGTTTTCAAGATTAGCGTGTCAGAGTGAAATGGAACTAGCCGGTGCGGGCAGCACGCAGCACCGCCGCGGTGGGGCCGGTCTCCAATCTCACCAATGGAAGGCTTTTTGGTACACGTAATTAATCAAGACATATGCGGTGCCGAGACACATGCGCGGGGAGCGACGCCAAACTCGGACCTTGCCAAACCCTCCACGCAACCGTCTCATTTGCCCCTGTCGCGCGGCCAGCTCTAGTCGAACAGGTCGAAACCCATCTCCTCCTCCTCCTCTTCGGGCTCCGGCTCCGGCGCCTTGGCCGCCGCAGGCGCCGGCGCGCCGCCGCCGCCGCCGCCGCCGCCGCCGCCGCCGCCGCCGCCGCCGCCGCCACCGCCGCCGTACTTGGCGCACCACGCCTCCGGGTCGTCGACAAATTCTTTGATCTTCTCGACCTGCGGGAACTCGATGAAGTCGGCCTCGAGCGCGAGCGCGCACACGTTCTTGAAGCCGCCGAGGATGACCGACGAGAGCGACGCCTCCGTCAGGATGCCCACGCCGAGAGAGAGGGCGGCGACGAAGCCGACGCCCTCGGCAAACTTGGCCGCGAGGTCGGCGTCGGTGATCTTGAGCACGTCGGGCGAGAAGATGCCGCCCTCGTAAATGTAGACGAGGCGCAAGCC